CCTCCCCGCTGCGGTTGCTATTATTTTCTAATTTCCAGAAACCTTCCCGCCTTTTGCGATCCTCAGCCTAGATCCCAGCATGCAGATCCCGGTTTTTTTATTATTATTATTATTATTATTATTATTATTATTATTATTTTATTTTATTTTATTTTTATTTTTTTTAAAGGAACCTATCGAAACTACGGCATTTCCGATAGTGGGTCCGGTCCTCCCAAATTTAGGCGCCGCTCCAAGGGCAGTTGAACTCCGCTTGCCAAAAGAGGCCCGTTCCTCAACCGGCGTACCTAAGGCGCTTTTAAGTTGCGTTTGCTTCCAGGCGAGAACCTTAACTCGGGCCTTTCCCTTCTCGCCTGAAGCGAAAGGGATGTTAAGAGATTTTTTTTCTCTCTCGTGCGTTTGGCTTCCGCTCCAACCGAACCAAAGCCGGCGAAGAAGAGGGGTTCTCTTCCCCTGGATATCAGTATGCGAGGGACAGGGAGAGGTTTGGGAGAGAGACGCGACAGCGGCCTGGCATTTTCTGAGGAATTCGTCGGCTTCCGGGGTGGAGTGGGGTGGGGTGGGGGCTGCCTTGTGTCTTTTTGACGCTTGGCAACTCCTTTTCTTGGCTCGGCTGTGCCAAAGTAAATATTTGATTGGCTTAGGAAAATGTGGAGATTTAATAGGGGGGGGGGGGAACCGCAAGGCGCGAAAGACAAATCTTTGGACAAAAGCAAGTGATTCTCCCAGGCCCCAGGGTATATTTATTTAGAGCAGGGGTAGGCAACCTTGGCTCTTTTATGACTCGTGGACTTCAACTCCCAGAATTCCTGAGCCAGCCATGCTGGCTCAGGAATTCTGGGAGTTGAAGTCCACGAGTCATAAAAGAGCCAAGGTTGCCTACCCCTGATTTAGAGTCACGAGGGTCCACCGAGAGATGACGGAGCGAGGGCTTTTCTTGAAGACACTATCTCTCCCCCCCCCATGAATTTGGGGGCTTATTTCCAGTTGCCCTCGCCGGAGGGTGGACCTTCCCCCCCAATCCAGTCACTCCTCCTCCCGCGGCCTCCCTCCCTCTCCCGCGGCCTCCCGCCCTTCTTTGAGCTGCCAAGAGGATTTGCTTTGTCTCTCTCTCTCTCTCTCTCTCTCTCTCTCTCTCTCTCTCTCTCCGCCAGCGCCTTTCTCGGCAGCCACCCGCTTGTCCAGACGGCATTAACATTCTTCTTGGTCCAGCCTCTGGCTGCAAACCCCGTCTCCCCGGAGACTCCACTTTTCGCTCTTACTGTCAAGTACCCTTGACTCTTTCTTTTTGCCCTTTTTATCTCTTACAACTAATTCGAGTTCTTTTGCCCTTTTCAGCTCCAAGACGTGGCTTTCTGCGAGGTCTGCCCTCCTTTCGTTCCCTCCGCCCTTTTCCTTCCCCCTCCCTCTCCGCCCCCCCCCCTCGCTTCCACCCTCGCTCCCTGCCACCGAGATCTCTGGATGCAGAGCCTTTTAGAAATTGAAGAGGTTGGTTATCCGCCCCCCCCTCCCTCTTTTCCTGTCAAAATGAAATTTTCACTTCAAATTATCTTGGCTGATGCAACGGATCCCCCCTTCTTCTCTTTCTCTCCCCCCCCCTTCTCCTTCTTTTCCCCAGGCCGGGAGCCTCCCGTCTCCGCCTTTTGACAGCCCCCATCAGCAGAGAGGTTCCGATAATATCATCCCAGAGAGCGAAAGTCAATATAATGACAGGGTGGAGGAGGAGGAGGAGGAGGCGGGAGGGGGGAGGAAGTTCGGAGTCCAATTAGAGCCGCTTGTGAGGAGAGCGGAGGAAAGGCTGCGCGGGGCTCCCTTCCTTCGGCACTCGGCTCCAGAGCGCCTCTCGGCTGCCTCGTAGCTCCAGTCCGGCGGCGGTCACTGAAATTGGGCGCCTGGCTGGTCTAAAGTTGCTGTTGGACAAAAAGAGAGTCGCTGGAGTTCCGGATCCACTCTTCGCTCCCTTTCTGACTTGGGATCGCAGGTGATCGTTACTACAATTCTGCTTTCCAGTGCTCCGCATTGCAGTCCACCAAATAAAAGTTCTTGAGAAAATCTGAGTCAGGCCAAGGATTAGAGGTTGGAAGGTTGAATTGGCGCCCCGAAGAGGCGCGGGGGCGCAGACTTTACGCACAGCCACAAACTCAGTTCAGAATAAATCTGATGAACATTACTTAGTGGGTGGCGTTTTTAAATTGCAACACCTCGCACTCGGTCTATTTTAGGAGTTGGTGTTGACTGATGGCAAATGCAGCTAGCACACACAGAAGCTTCCCTCAGAACTCTCTTAACAGCGCCGTATGTTTTTGTGTTAGCAATTTAATCCTGCGCGTATGTGGTTCAGAATAACAGCAAGACCAAACACATACTGGCTTTTGGAGGCGGGCTGAGGTGTGTGTGTGTGTGGGGGGGGGGAACGGGGGAGGCAGAGGGCCTTTCCAGGCAGAGGCCTCTTGCGTGACCCCATCCAAGACCCCTCTCCGGAGAAAGCAGAACCAGCCCCTGGCCGGAAATCCACTCGCTCTAAAGGAACTGTCCCAGAGATTTAAATCCCCACCCTCACCACCACCACCCCCGGTGAATTTAACCGGACAACTTTTAGTTCTATGGCTTTTAATATTCCTTTCAAAATTACTTCTATGGAATTTACAAAGTTCATTTATTAATTTATTTTGCCGGTCGGAATGGTGAAAGGATGTCTTTTAAAGCGTTTCAATCAGAGGACGGTCTTCAGGCAATCCCTGCTTCCCCTGCAACCCGCAGGCTGTTCCCCGTCTCCATCCCCAGGCGGCCGCGAGAGGGGATCTTGACGGCGCTGTCTTCTGCAGGCTAAGTGGCAAATTGCCCGACGTTTCTCGAGAAAGTCCCGCGCCGTGGGGGGAGCACTCCTTCTTCCTCTTGGCTGCGCTTCTATTTAATGTCAAAACGGTAAAGCATCCATCCTGAAGTGCTGAAATATTCATAGAGAATCCAACGATTCGTTCTCCATACCAGGGGAGAAGCTTCAAGTTAAAACGGTGCTTTAAAACATCAAATCTTCCATGTGAATCAATTGCCTCGCTCACATTAACGGGGCGGGGATGGGGGGGAGGGAGGGCGAGAGGTGCCGGCAGCGTCTGCAATACAGTATCAGGACTTCCTTGGCGACTTTACATTCCCAACAATTTCATTTCTCTAAAATCCCCCTGCTCGCCTTTTTCCTTTTCGGAGGGAAACCCTCCTTCTCAACCCGAATAAACGAGCAGCTCACCGAGCTTTTAATTCTGAACGTCTATCTATATAATCAGTTCTACCTGGGGAAGCAAATTAAAATTTCTGTATGCAACTCGATTCTGTGAAAATTTTCTAAGAAACAATTTCCTCTTCCAGGCTTCCTTTTAATCAAACTTGTCTAAGATTGCACTTTTGGTCTGGAGACAGAAGGGAAGCAAGCCTCAGTTGGTCACGATATTGCCCTTCTCCTGATTGGCTTGAGAAGCTGAACTATTATTGGGTTCCTTTAAAAATACGACTTTTCTTAATAGATAATCTTTTTCTTTCCTCCGAATTTCAGATCATATCCGAATTTTTCTTTGCCCGTTTATAACTTGTTATAGAGAAATAGAAAAAGGTGTGTCCCACTTTGTCCGCGGGTGCAATTATAAATATTCCAACAGAAGAGCTTAAATGATAAACGTTCTTAATTTTTAAAAACACTCTAAAACCAGCACTTGGCCCTTCGCTTTCTCCGGATTACTCTACCCATCGTCAAACTCCATAAGCACCCTCCTCCCAAAGTGATGGGTTGTATTAACTCCCTTTCACAAATCGTCTTTTGAGTTTTTATAATGAGTTTTAGAGAAAAGGAAAGATGTAAATGATTTTGCTTGGGACCCCGGTGAGAAATAATTGAAATCTTTTTCTTTAAGCAGCCACTACCATCCGCTGCTCCAGCGTCGCTGCTTCATCTTGAACTACCGAACCCTTGATAGATCTTAAAAATCGTTTAATAAGAAAATTCGCGCTGCAACAGATTCTCTGTTGATTTAAAAGTTGTGCCACAACTACCCTTGGCTTGTCTTGTCTTTTAACCTTTATCGTTGGAGGCCATGTGAAGTGGCTCTACAAAGTACAGTATGGGACTCCAGTCTGGATGAAAATATTCATATTTATACTATCTGACTTCCAAAAAGCTCGTTACCTATTTAACTTGGAAGTGATACTCATTTTCACGGAGCTACTTCGAAATAGACATTCGTCTGAAACTGGCGAAAAGTACCGGTAAACTCACTTTTGTCCCCCTTTCCAAAAACCCACTGGGGGGAGTTTTTTCACAAGCAAGGCAAAGAGATCACAAATCATAGGATAACTCTGAGAGACAGACAATTTATTTGGGGTGAACATACCCTTTCGACATAACCTATTTGTCAAGGTCAAAAATTCTGTGTTCGTGTACGGGAGCGCAATGGGGTTTTAACTCGGTGAAAGAAGTGCGATTTGTGTGTGTGTGTGTGTGTGTGTATGAGATGTTAACAATGAAAAGAGGAGGGGTGGGGGGGAAAGTCCGAGAAAGTCTTTTTGGTAACTAAGATCGGCATGCCACAAATTAAAAGGAAATAAAAGAACGAGACAAACGGCCCCCTCCCCTCCTCGAAGAAGCTGAATTTGAATCTCGCGCCCTGTAAACTTGCCCCGGGACATTCCAAAGGCGGCGCGAGGGGCGCGTGCGCAAGATCCGTGATGAAGACTTCGATTGCTGGAAGTGATCAAAACTCCCCTCCCCTCCCAAAAGCTGAGAATGGGAATCTCTTTCTCCCGCCTGAAACGTCCAGCCGCATTTTTAAAATCCCCCGTTCTGTTCCGCTCCTGTAAAACGTGTCCTGCCCAAATCTCAGCTCTCTCCAAGTCTTTCTCGAGTTCCCCGCCAAGTCACCAGGGCCCACCCCGGCCTCAGCGGCTCGCCAGGTCCGAGTCTTTCCCCCCGCCCTGACCCAGGGAAGGCGGACGCGGACGGGGCTCGGTCGTTAAGAGCAGAACATTTTGCCGCCCGCTTTGGGAAAAGCCAGGAAGTCTTTGCCGGAGTCCTGAGGCCCAGCCAGGCCGGCCAGCTGCCCCTTGAGCACGGCGGCTCCGCCCCCCAGCGAGCGCCCCAAGGCTCCCGTCTCCAAGATGGAGCCCTTGGTGGCCGCCCAAGACACTGTGGTGCTGTTCAAGGCCTGGTTCAGTGTACTGTGTCTGAAGAGGGGGTCGTGGAACACGCCGTCCACCCAGTTCCTGAGGTTGGTAACGGGGGAATCCTTCGGAGGCCTCTCGAGGACGCCGCCCGCCTGCGCCGCCCCGCCGCCGCTCGACGCCCCCTGCTGGCGCTTCAGCATGCACGAGGGGTATTCCGCCTGGTTGAGCGAGGTGGCCGTGTGCGCCAGCGACCAGATCCTCGGCTTCCCGCCGCCCTCGAGGAGCGGCGAAGGCGGCGGCTGCGGCTGGTAACACGGCTTGGCCTCGCAGCCTCTTTGCCTGGCGTTCAGCAGCTCCGCCGCCTCGCAGCCTTCCGGCCCCGACGCGGACTCCTTCAGGCAGCTCTTGGTTCTGTCCAGGGTGCTTTCCAGCGAGGCCGCCCCGCCCGCGACCGCGACCAGAGTGGGCTCCTTGCTTGGCTCGTTGGCGCACGCGCCGCTGCTCTCCACGTGGCCGAAGGCTGGCGGCTTCAGCTCGCTCTCCGAGCTTTCCGACTCTAGTGGGTCGTAGTCGTCCAGATCGCTTAGGCCCAGCTCTTTGTCCTCCTTCCCGGAGGATTCTGGGAATAGAAGAGGGGGGGGGAAACTGTTTAATTTATTCTCGTCTTATCTAGCATTTGCGAATGAAATGTCTCTTCCTCAGTCTGGCACAAATCATTCACAAGAATCCCCGTTCTCCTTTTTTGGAGAAATGCCTTGCTTTTCCTCAGTCTTAACTCTGGTGAATGGTCAGTCCACTATTTTGAACTGGTTATTAGGAAACTTAAGCTGGTAGTCACTTGTCAAAACCTTTCAAATGGATACAGATGCTGCCTGAAATAAGATATTCGCTCCAGTTGGAGTAAAAAAAACAAACTTAAGCTAAATATTTATATCTACCACTCTTTTCCTCTTGCATGTAATTTTACTTCTCCAAGTTAGGTTTGAGCCTTGGAGAAGTAACCACCGTTGGAACAATCATTTGATACCCATCTCTCACCCTGCCAGATTAAGCTTGGCACACAGCTGAATGCAGCAACTTTCTCTCATCTCCAGATAAATACATTCCCATCACTGCACACCTGAGAGTACCAGTTTCCCAAAGAATGATATGACAGAACTGGCTATAAATCATGCCTTCTAAAATAAAATTCTCGAATTCAAGAGTACTGTTTGCTGCTCTAAGAAAGTGTATTTGCTTATGAGGTAGTGGATGGACTTACACTTCCTTAATCACAAAAGGTTTAGTGGGTCTAATAACCTGCACAATTTGTTTAGTGTTAATCTAGGTTAGATTTTTTTTTGAGGTGTTGGGTATTGTGCCTCCTCAACACATCAGGTTAATTTATGGGGCTATGGGAACATGGATTAACTTGGAAATCAAGTTAAAGCATCTCATGCGAATACAGCCATTGAGTTGTTAAGGGTATTGGTTTGCACAATGCAACTGCAAGGCTATTGCTTGCTAAGAGTGAAATGTATCCTTGTATTATCAAATATAATCTAGAGCATCCCCTCACAGATAATTTCTCCATAAATTGAGAACTAGGATACCATGTCCAAGTGCTCCCCAATAGTTATGTGTACAATCCCAGGAACAGATGATGACTGCATATTCCAATTTGCTCTGATGAGCAGAAGATGTAAGGAAGCTTTCCCCAACCTGATGCCTCCAAATGTATTGGACTATAGTTGCCACCATCCTAGGTCAACACGCAATTATAGTCCAGTAGGTCTAAAAGTCCCCAGGTGGGCAAAGCTAATATAGGGAGAAAAAGTATAAGCTTGCAGTATTTTAAGGAATTGTTAGGCGATACCCTCAACTTTCTCATTCTTTTGATTCTCCCCTTGACCTTCTCCATCCTCGTCTTCCTCGTAGGGTCTTTTTTCATCGGCACACTTATTCCTCGGGGGCCATGTCATTTTGTTCTCCTTCTTGAGCCTCCTCCGGGCATTGGCAAACCAGGTGGAAACCTGCGTCAGGGTCATTTTGGTGATGATGGCCAGCATGATTTTCTCGCCTTTCGTTGGGTAAGGGTTCTTGCGGTGCTCCTGCAGCCAGGCTTTCAGCGTGCTGGTTGTTTCCCGAGTGGCGTTTTTCCTCCTTGTCCCTCCATCCATGGTGCTATATCTGTGGTTACAAAGAGTGTGAGAAAAAGAGGACGGGTACTTAACAGACCTACCTTTATTCTGACTGAGGAGAATGTCTCACTGCTACCCATGGAACAGAGATTCTTCTAGCTCACAAATCATTCATTTGGGGGATAAGACCTGTAAGTACTCAACATTTGTCCAATAAACAATCTGACTATGTAGAAGTATGTGGATGGGCTCTGCAGTCTGCTGGGGATGAAGGGCAGGGCTGTTTGAAAGCATCACTGTATTCAGTAGAGATTCCTCAGGGAAGGATGGATCAGACTACAGCAGACGGTTTGCCAAAGAAATGTGGCCTTTGGGAGGAATTAGTATACAGTTAATATAAAAGGAATGTGTCAGAAAAATATCCCTTTTTGGGTGCTACTTCTCTCCAGTAAAGACCTCCGAGTAACCTCTGCATGCGATGGTAATAAAAATATTTCCTTTTATTAGCGGCAAAATACTCTCTCCTTCTCACTCTCATATATACACACAGAGAGAGACATTGAAACTGTGCCTGAATATTTAATATACATCATCTAAGAAAAGGTCACCTGCACCCACTGGGCTTAAAAGGTTGAAATAGTGGAAGCGGGGGATTCTTGGCGCATGTTCTTTTAGAAAACAAGCAATAAACGAGATCAAAGATAAAAAAAAGGTTTGTTTAACATGATGTTAAAAGGGGGGTGTCAACTTTAAGCTATCTGAATTCATGGGAAATATTTGGAAATCTGCCTCTGAAAGAAAAGTATACATAGGGATGAGTTAAGGATTGATTCTTAGAGCAACTTCACACATTCGGATGCCAGTTGTGAAGTGCGAAATGCTCTGGGTAAAAAACGTGGTTTATGCCTATGTGAAGCAGCCAAAGGAAGAAAAGAATCATAAACGAAGAGAAAGCTATGATTAAATCAATGCTGATTGACTGAAATGAGGGAAATATCTAGACTTAAAGCTAATATACTGCCACTGACCTTACAATCTCTTTAAAACCTTCGTTTGTTCATAGGTGTTAAAGGCTGCAAAATATTGAAGGGGAGAACAACTAGACAAGGATTCAATCACTATGGAAAAAAACCCCCAATCTTTTCACTTCAGGCTTTCTCCCATAATCAGAGCTTACTTCTATTCTCATTGGGTGACTACAATGTTTAGATGTTCACTGTCTTAGAGCTCAGATGCTCTAAAACTTTCAGGCTTGAACTTTCAAAACATTAGTTTCTGCTGGACTCAGAGAAACCTTGCAGAAGCTGTTATTTCATGGCACCTACCTAGGCAGATTCCTAAATCTTCCATGGTCATAGACTCAACACAGTCATTATTACCTAGTACCCAAGGCGGATCTGGCTCTTGATCAGTGAGAGACTGATCTTTGTGCGATCACTTAGGTATTCATCTCAAGAAATACAAATAGGAATTTGAAAATAGAGCTGTGAGGCCAAAGTGATAAAAGAGATTAGAAGAAAGTTATGGGTTTGTGACTAGAGACAATAAAAAAAAGTCTGTATGGAAATGAAGGCTGGGCAGGCGCAGTGAGTAAACTCCTGGAATTCTGCAAGTAGTTTCATTAAGGCTTTGCTTTCTGTGCCTTCCTTCTTGGACTGCTTATAGCAAAAATCAATGCATGCATGCTCAGACATAAAGCTCAGTTCCCAGGGAAGTGTGTGAAGAATTACAGTGAATAAATGCAGTGGGATTTTTTGCAGATGATAATCCTGTAGCCAGTGATATGGGGATAAGCTGAATTGAACCCTCTAGGTCTTTTTATCTGGCATAAATAGGACTGAGATTTTTTTTTTAAGTAAATAGGATGAGTTCAGTTTAAAAGCTAGTTCACATATGCAAGAAACATTACTTGGGAACACCAATGCATAGATAATTATTTGTATATCCTATGCTGGGCGATAGGATAGGGATGGGCCTTTCAATTGTCATTGGGGCTCCCCTGGTTTCAAACCTTTATCAAACCCTTTAAGGAAGGTCCATAATGACTCCTATAGTTGCAGATGGGGATAGTATGCAGTTAAGATAATGGTTTTTCTAAGCCGCCACAGTGGGGGGAATGTGACCAAATGACTCCCTAATTCATTTTTCAGCCATTACTCTCCATCACCGCTAGAGCGAACATTCCCATAGCTGAAAGCATGGGCTTTTCGCAGGGTGGGAAACATTCATACATAACACCTAATCCATACATAACACCTAATCCAATGGAGGTTAGAAAGATTTGCGTATCCATTTGCACAAATAATCTCTCAGCTATAGGCTAGAATACAAGAAGACCTGAGAACACTTCAACGGAAGTCAATGAGATGTTTTCTCATACTGATTAAAACAGAATAATAATTTGTAATTTAGCTTAATATATTTGGCACGTGCTGCTGCTAGTCAGGATTATTCATCCAGGTCAACATGCAAGCAGTCAGACATTCAGCACAACTGCTCCACATTTACAAGTGCTGAGATCCACCCCCACAAGCGCATACGGTTGTAGTTATCGTTAAACCGGGTTCCCAATGGGGGAGCAAACAGCCAGTGTCCTCCCCCAGCCCCTCCCTTGTCCCGCCTTGCAATTAATAGCTGTTTGTTTCTTACCTGTCATATTGATACTGACTGAGCGTGTGATCGTAGGGATAGTAAGCGGTCGCCTGGGTAATGCCCGCATGCGCAGATCCACTCCCATCCTTCGAATCAAAGCTATTCTAGAACAGGAAAACCAAGGATGGCCTCTTTCAGCTCACCCCTTTCCTTGCCAGTAATGGGAAAGCAAACAAAGCAAAGCAGGGGGCAATATCTTCTTCCTCACGAGGGAACATAGATGGGAACAAGACAGCAAAGTACTCCATGCAATCAAAAATAGAGTATTTTCCCCCTAGCAAGAAAATTCCGCACTGATTACCAGCCCAAACTCATGCCTGTTTATTCAAAAACAGGTATGTAATGGGTATTTTTCCAAACCAAACCCACACCCTTGTACTTGACTAAGATTTAATTGTATGCATTCTTCATTCAGGGGTTCAAAACAGATTGCTATCACTGCGGTAAGTCATTAAGCATAGGCAAATGGTCTTGAAATTGAAAACATCATGGCAGACCACCTTAGGCTAGGAAATACACCTAACAAGTGGGATCTTTCTAAGTGTATTTGTTTGGGTATGGAGAAGGATCTCTCTCTCTCTCTCTCTCTCTCTCTCTCTCCCTCTCTCTCTTACACACACACACACACACACACACTTCACTGAGCACAGTATTATCCATACTAATTTGCAATTTTCTTCCAGGAATTAAGAGATTAACAAAAAAAATCCATTTTTTTCAGGAAATGCTAGCTCTCTACTAAGTCACGAGTTTCCAGATTTACTGTCCTTTGGAACCTGAAATTCTAAACTGCAATTCGGAACCAGGTTGAAGCTAAAAGTTAAACAAATGAAACTTCACAACTGTGGAGGATCAGACTCCACTTTCTTCCAATGAGGAAGCCACTCCATTAATACTAATGGTGGTCTTGCTTGAAGCAAATATTTTACACCAAAGTTTATGTTATATTTAAAATTTTCAGCAGACCAGATCTTTTACCTGCTCAATTCAGTATGTGATATTTTATAGAAGATTATGATGAATATGCATCAGGAATGCAGGATAAAAATTGCTGTATAAATTTGTGTGTGTGTAGTGTAGTGTAGTGTGGAGTGTAATGAGGATAGTATGTTTTTACATGCATTCATCTTTGGTTATCAACCATTGATTATATTAAAATGTCTGCAGCTGACTATGTGGGTTTTCATCCAGACCTGCATGTAATTGGATTGGAGAAGATTGCCCAACCCCTATTAAACTTCCCCCATCAGGTACTCTCCAAGTGTGTGGTAGACACCAATTTTCTCCAAAGCATGTAGAGCTTTCTAGGTCTAGGAAAAAAAGAACCACTGGTTCTAGAGGGGCTAAATGGTATTGTTACCCCAAATTTTTGTATCCTACATTTTTCATCCTAATTCAGTTCATTTTTGAGCTGGATGTTTACTTTCTAAGACTGAGCTTCCATCCCAGCCCTAGAGGCTGATCTTAAGATCTAGGCAAGCCCAATTGGTGACCAATCCAGGTTTTCTGAAATAGTTTACTAAGTCTCTTAAGAACAGCAGGTAGGCTTCCTTACTTTCCTTGAGAAAATTCAGGGCACAGCAGTGGCAGAGACTTACCAAGGAATAGAAAGCTGATGCCTCTGTCCCATAAGTGACATAATTGCCATAGCCTTGAGTGTTTGTGTAGGGATTCCCATAGACTCCCAGAGCAGCTGCTGAATTGAGTTCGTGCCTGGCTGTGGCCAGCAGCCTGCTCTCATATACTGGACAGTAGACAGGGGTCTGAGTGGAGGGTGCCGCTCCCGAGTCCGCCAAGGACCTACCACTGGTCTCACAGCAAGTTGACAAGGAGTTGGTGGTCATCAGGAACTAGAAGAAGAAAGAACAGGATGGTGAAAAGGAGAGAGACCTGGGAGTCAATGAGGCTGGTTAGCCAACCCAGCAATCAATTATGTAAGGTACATTTTGATGCCAAATCGCAGAACTCAGTTCTGGGGCAAACATTGCCACTGATTTCAAGGCAAATTATTTGCAGTTTCTCAAAGTTAATATGTCTGGAATAAACTTTCTCTTCTCCCTTTCTTGCCCTCCGTTTAGGCATATACACATGTACAGCCCTGGGGTTTTAGAGTTAACATCATCTCACCCAGGGTAAGAAGAGCGTTATTCCACTCAAATGGAGGAAATATCAAAGTGGTCATCTGCAGAACCCAACCCCAACAATAGTTTGAACTCTCAAAGACCAGAGTGATCCTATGCATATCTGCTCAGATACAGCAATATGTCCTACTCAGCTCAGTGGGTTAATTAACTCAGATGACTGGGGACAAAATCTAATCTGGCTGTGAAGAAAATTGTGCATGGAATATAGCTGCTCTCTGCAATCCCTAAAAGAAACCAGTGAAAAAACAACTGATCTGGTTTTAGTGATCTTTGAATAAGTATTTTACAGTTTATATATATCAGTTGCTTCACCAGTGTATGGACCCTGTAGTAGTGTAAAAAGCACTTGAAGAGGGAAAGCTAGTTGAAAAGAAGAAAATATTTTACAGGATTAATTCATTCTTTCCAAGGAGAAAACTGTTTATACTGACACTGGCAGAATATTATTCTTGGGCCTTCCTCATAACATTTTCCCCTTAAATAAAAGCTCCAGAGTTCTTCTGAGAAATATGCTCCCAGGTCCTCAGTGAAAATCATTCAATAATTATTATTATAACAGTCATTCCTGGATTCAGGGAATATTTAATACACCCACCTGCCTTGAGCAAATAGGTTGCTTAATCTAAAGATACAGACAGCCATTCCATCGGAGACTGATTTTGGGGGATCTTAAGTGGAATTGCCTGCATGGTGGGTTTTTGTGGGTCTGCTAACCCACCCTCCACCTGACCCTTTCTTTCCCAGGCGTTCAGTCATATGAATTGACCAAGCCTTCTTTTCTGCCTATCTGGAAGCAGAACTGAATGGAATTCAGCCAGAAGCCCAACTGATTCGGTTTCCTGTTGGTGCTGAGTATTGTGAGAATCAAAGACAGCTTACATATTTGCTCAGTTAGGTTTAGGGTTCCCTGAAGATTCTGTGGGACTTAATCTGAGTAGGCCAGGGGTAGGCAACCTTGGCTGTTTTATGACTCGTGGACTTCAACTCCCAGAATTCCTGAGCCAGCATGGCTGGCTCAGGAATTCTGGGAGTTGAAGTCCACGAGTCATAAAAGAGCCAAAGTTGCCTACCCCTGGAGTAGGCAAATGGGATTGGGCCGTTAACCCTGCAGCTTCCGTCCCAAAATTGCCTTGTCTCTTACTTTTCACAGCCCTCTTTCGATCCTACTGTGAAGTAAAACCCACTGACGGCAAAGACATTCGGCAAAGACATTCCGTTCATAAAGCCTAATTATCCAGGTGAAAATGATTTTCCAGCTTCCACATTTCTATCTTGCAGTCCTGGATTTAAGTGCTTTCGATTTCAGTGATATCAGTATTGCCCTCTAGAAAGATTTAAAAAAAAAACTTTTCCACATTTATCCTTAGTGGGAACTTTTGGTGTGTGTGTGTGGGGGGGGAATTCCAGTGCAATATTTGGTAGGATCTCTGTAGGGCTGGTCTTACCTGAGGTGCAGATGAATAAGGGTATCCAAACTGGGGGTAGGACATGGCAACTGGAGTGCTCTCAAAGTCCAGGAAGCAGCAGCAGAAGTGTTGGGCTTGTGAGCTTGGGAGGCAGCCTTACTGGTCCAGGTGAGTGAATAACTCGGGCTTCCAGGGGCCTTAATACAAAAAAATAATAATACAGGGATTATTAGTACTGACGTTGCATTATTTTTTTTTAAGTAGCGTGGGTGTATTTCTCCCTCCCCTCCGGCCGGCACACAAATGCAAATAACAGTTTTAAGGAAGAGTTGCCTCAGGAGCTGGGCACTTAACCACACTACATATTTTGCCCATCCACAGGCCGCGGAAGGCGGGGAGCGAAAAATGACCCGTCTCTCCATCCGCGAGTCCAGGCCAGGAACAGCCAGGAAAGACCCCACGGGGACCTGCCCCGGGTTCACCTCTTTTGTTTGGGTTGCGTGTTCCCTTTGGAGCGACTGCGATGGAAGCGGCGCCCAAAGCAACGCAAAACAGCTCAGAGTTTGCTTTCTTGCGGGGTGGGGGGGGGAGACTCTCTCGCCCGTGGGTTGGTAATGCAACGGGACCGAAGTCTGCGGCCCCCGGGACGAAGCAGGTCCTGGAGCGGCCCCGAAAAAAAATAAGACTACGGAGCAGGAGGCGTCCATGTTACGCTCGGACTCTCTCCCCCCCCCCACGTGTTTCCTGGCGCGCGTGCGCGGAATCACTGAAGGGTGGCAAGCACTTTTAATTAGAAATTAATTAACGAGCAGCTGCCCTGCCGCTTCTCTCTCCCCCCCCCCGCCCTGTAGTCATCAGTCCGCTTACAAACGAGGCCGACAAGGGACACGCGCCCCAGCAGCGCTTTTAAATCAACAGTTGAAAGCAGCTCCGAGGTTGACAGCCAAGCGCGCGCCGAGAGGAGACCCCCCCTGCTCTCCTGGCCCGCCCTCGCCTCCGATCCTGTGAACCCATTAGCCACAGCCCTCGCTCCCCTTCGGAGTAGGCGCTTCTCTCTTCTCGCTGTTTTAGGAGGCTGGGAGTTGTTTAAAAAGGCACTTTTGGAGGTGGGGGTTGGGTTGGAGGGGAGTATCTTAAAGACATCAGGCACATCTGGTGGCGAGGACTTCTGCGTCCCGTTATGGAGGAACGAAATGGTTTACGACCTTTGATTGAGTCTGATATACCGATCCACAGCTTTTAGCAAATACCTCGAAATGCTGCTGGCATTTGAGATGCAAGCATTGGTCCTGCAAAGTAGGACAGTGTAATCGTCCCGACCTTGTGGGCAAGAGGCAATGCTTGTTAGTAGATGCAAGGTGGAGAAAGAGACTTGGGAGCTGATAGGTTGATCTCTTCAGTGCTACTCGCTCTGACTTGTTCTGACCAGTATCTGTACACAGTGCTGGGTCTATGTGTAAATAAGGCTCTGATGAAACACTGCCACTGGTAAGTGTTCATTTCTTATTGCAAGAGACTATATCCAAGGCCTGTATGTGGGTCTTTTAGGCCTGGTTTTCTAGGCTATTGTGCCTGCTCTTTATATTGCTTTTCAAGTCCTTCTTTATCACCAGCATAAATTATCATCTGGAATCTGATGGGTGGGTGGAAATCGCTTTATTACTCTTGTTCTTCATCTCTTTCTATCATCTTCCACATACTTGACATGATGCTTAAAATGTTGCTGAGAAGCAATTAAAAAAAATAAGTAAGGATGTTTTTCTCTGTCTCTCTGACAGAATGAAAGTTCACCATCTATGACTAGCAAACTTTGATTCTGTTTTGCAAAGTTCAGTTCTGTCCCATCTAAATCTAGATGACATTCATCACAGTTCCAGAATTCTACTTGACCATTCTAAAAAACAAAATTTGCTAATAATAAGAAGCAAAGTAGCATTATTTTCTCTTCCAAACAAAGTCTGATGGTTTAAGTTTTTAAAAAATTTATATTAGTAAGAATGAAAAACTCTTCAAACACAGAGCCATATGATGGGAGGGAGCCCTCCAAATCAGCAATTTGGCAATGCTGTTATTAGAACCAACCAGATGTTTAATCCATGATAGTAATCCATGAACCCAATTTTATCAAACTTATGCTGCACAGAGGCATCTGCTATGCTTCTGTCTGATCTGGCTAAGACTGTAACATAGCCAAAGTGGAAAGTGAGAAGTAGGAAAAGGTGGAAGCATTAGATCAGATGTTACAGCCACACAGAGAATACTAAAAGATAAAAGTCACCCTACTATAAGCTCAAAACATGCTTAATGTGTGTAATTTTTGTAATTTGTGTCCAGGTTTAGTTGGTTTGAATGCTAAATATTTACCCAAATTCATCACTGACAATTGTTCTCAAGGCTCTTGCTAGGCCTTTTTAATCTCAATAGTAAATACATTTTCATGTTTAATCATTGTACAGTATTTTCACATTTAATGAGAATAATTGCTCAAGCCCTCTGGATGTCCCTGTGAGATTAAATCACTAACACCATTGCTATAGAAATGTTTCACTGATGTCAACAGCCAAATGCCAAATTAATTTTAATAGAGCTGGAATTTCTGTACTGCTGAATACTTCAGTAGGAGAACCCAGGAGGCAGGAGTTCAAAAGACCATCCCTAGATTTCTAAAGCATTCGGGGGTTCTTAGACTGGAACCCTACACAATGAACATTTGGGGATTATGTTTGTATTACTGAGCATGCATGCTTAGGAACTCATGCTTGGCTGGACTCACGTCCCAGATAAAAAATATAGTTTGAGACTCATATTGGTTCAGCCCCTGAAGTTTTGGAAGAGTGTTCAAGATAAAAGTGGGGGAAAAATGGCATTTCAGTAACGGGATTCAAAGAGCAAATGCTCTTTGTAGAACAGCATATTTTGGTGGAATCTGGCTAAAGAACTGGGAAAAGCTGGAGAAACCCACACATTTTCCCTGTTGGAGGTGAGCAGCAGTATATATGTATACAAATGCAAGACACTGCTTGCCCTCCCCTTCCTCAACATTTATTCCCACCCTGTTTATTATTAATCCTAAAGTAATCCTTTATTTAAATGACCATTTATTTCCAAGTGAGCAGATATACAAAGATGCCCTAAATCATCACCAGTTCCTTACACTTGGATGAATGTAACTTAAGGGCTGAATATAAAATAGTCCGTTCAGGAAGCCTGCTAAGGGACCTTAGCAGGGTTAAATACCATTTTTATGGAGCCCAAAGTCATTTAAGAGTGGCACATAGACTCTAAATCCAAAAGAATTTGTCTGAGCCTACTTAGGCAAGGCCCAGTTTAAGATACTTTGCCTGCCAGATACCTTCCCTCACCCCTAACCTAGGTGATTGCTACAAAAAAGAGATGCAGTTATCCCACAAATATGTTTCCTTCTTTTTGACAGAAATGGGGAAAAAAAACACCACCCAGTAATTTTTATGTCATTGCCTTTTCTTGAAGCTCAAGGTCAACTGCTCCATTCTGCCTATTGGTAGAGCTGGTTTTAGTTTAGGAAGTTAGAATGAGAAATTCTTGCAAGGATGGAAGGTATTCAAAGCGTACTCCGTCTCCTTTACCCATCCACTTTTCTCCCTTTTGCTTAGGTCTCTTTGCAAAGATCAGGACACCCCCACCTCTCCTCCAGGTATGGTGTGTGTGTGTGTGTGTGCGCTTTGGGAGAGGGAGGCAGGAGAAAGAATTCATTGAAAAGAGGAGTCCTGGGCTGGGAGGACTCCTTGCAACGGGCAACTAACCAGCTCCTCAGGAGTTTTGCAAGCCTCCTGGTGTATTTGTAGTGGGAAGGGCAGCTGGGGTGGAGGGAGGGGAGGGCAGAAGTGCAGACTTGCTCGGAGAGCTTGCCTGGGTTCAGACATGTGAATAGCCCCAGGGTCACACTCTAATTAATGACGATGTTCCCTTCTTCTCCCCAGCTGGAAGACTTGGTGCCTCCCAGGGACGAATCTGCCCGCTCTGACAGCTCGATTGAGGGTGATGGATGACTATCTGGAGACCGCAGTACACCTCATATAATCCTATCTGCCGCGTAATTGCTGTAATTTACCGAGGCAAAAGCTTGGCTCTAGGAAGGTTGAGTTTTCGCAATTGCGGCCCCTTCAAAAATAAGACGGCCCCGATCCCAAGCACGCCTCTGGAAAAGAGATCCTTGCAGGATCCCGGTGTCGGCAGTCACTTTTACCTGGAGGACAGCCGGCACTCTTCATTTCCAGTTCATTTCATTAAATCTCCGCAATTTAGGAAGCCACCAAAAAGGCTGACTTCCAAGCAGCCACCATGTTCTCCGCGTTATTCCAAAGGCCCACTTCTTTCGAGGACAACTGAAGGTGAGTTTCAAACGGAGGGGAAACGGAGCTGTATTGGACCCACTTCCTTCTGTCTACCCCTCCCCGTTTCTTCCCCAGCTGTTTTTACGAGAATAAATGCACCCCATGAGTAGCTGAACAGATTTCTCCAGAATGCGTAACGGGGGTGAGGGGACCTTAGGAACCTTCAAGAATAAGGTTTCGGTCCCTGGAAGATCTTGGTTCCTCTCGGGCTTGATGTATTTTATTTTCATATCATTTTACGCGGCTGCAAAAGCGGAGGCCTTTCCAAACACTGCTGTACCAAAAGGCAGGCGGTCTCCCGGAGTCTGCGTCCTTTGCAAGGCACAAGGGCAACTTTCCAGATTGTGTCGGACAAGGAACTCGAGGGAAGGGGGGGGGGGAGGGCGCGGGAGGGGCGGGAACCCAAAGCACGGGCTGATCTAGAGAGAGCTAGGGTTAAATCGGTTGGCGCTGGCGTTGACACAGAGAGGCATTCCTCTGGGAGAGGAGGCAAGCCCCGTTCCCTCCCAGGGCAACTTTCACTTTTTTTAGGCACCGCGGAGCCGGCATTGGCGACTCCTGAATCATTTCAAGCGGTTTGGTGGGTCGGTTGTATCAGATCATCCCATCTAGCAAGCCAGCAGTGCATTGTGTGATTTGGGTTAAGGATCTCCAGAAGCTTGCTTTTCAGTAAGTAAGGGCGCCTAGATGAAAATAGAAGGGGTTTATTCC